AAGCTACCCTTTTTGGATGTCCTAATTAAAAGGAGATCTGATGGTTCAATGAGCCATTCTGTCTACAGGAAAGCCACCCATACGGATGCCTACCTAAAACCGATTCCCACCACCATCCATCCCAGAAGAACTCCCTCATCAAGACTCTATACCAGGGGTCCTCAAACTTTTTAAACAGGGGGCCAGTTCACTGTCCCTCAGACCGTTGGAGGGCCGGACTATAGTAAAAAAAAAAACTATGAACAAATTCCTATGCACACTGCATATATCTTATTTTGAAGTGAAGAAACAAAACGGGAACAAATACAATATTTAAAATGAAGAACAAGTAAAGTTAAATCAACAAACTTGCCAGTATTTCAATGGGAACTATGGGCCTGCTTTTGGCTAATGAGATGGTCAATGTCCGGTTCCATATTTGTGACTGCTAGTCGTAACAAGTGATGCAAGTGTGCATCCGTTAGTCTAGATCTGGTTGGAGATTTCAAATGTTTAATTCTGGAAAAAGTCTGTTCACAGACATAAGTGCTGCCAAAGATGGTTGCCATTTTGAGTGCATGGTTCCTGAGATGAGGATATGTCTCAGAGGGGAGAGATGCATAGAAATTATGAAGGCTGCTTGACATGAATGCGTCTTTCAGAGAGTCACAATTCTGCAGTTCAGCCAGTTCCATTTGGTAAATTGTATCCACATTTTCAATGTCAATAAAAAATGGATTACGGAAAAGCTTATGTCCTGTTCATGGAGATGAAGCTCTTTAAATCCAAATTGGAACTCCTTTTGCAATTTTTCCAGTGAATCCACACATGTTTTGTTTGGGAATGCAACCAATGGTTTTTCCGCTAACAGATTTTGAGTTGTGGGGAGATGGCAGAAGTTTTCCTCCTTCACTTGTTTGATGAGGAGGCCTAATTTTACTTCAAATGCTTTGACATGTGATTGCATATCACAGATGAGCTTCCCCTTTCCTTGAAGTTGCACATTGAAACTGTTGAGTAGCTCTGTTACATCTGTCAGAAAGGCAATGTGTCATTTTTATTCTGCATCATTGAGCTCTGGTACTTCTTTGTTTTTTTAAAGCAGAAAAGCTGTAATCTGTGGAAGTAAGTCATAGAAACGTTTCAAAACTCTTCCTCGACTCAGCCAACGGACTTCTATGTGATACAAAACATCTTCATAGTCAACATTTAGCTCAGACAGAAATTCCTGAAATTGTCTGTGGTTTAGTGCATGAGCTCTAATGAAGTTAACACAAGATACCACAATTTTCATAACAGAGTCCCACTTCAGTGATTTACTACACAGCGCTTGTTGGTGGATGAGGCAGTGTATGGCTATTGGATGAGAATGGTTATGTTTGTCCATCTCTTGGTTAATGCTAGCAATTATTCCTTTCTTAGACCCCACCATGCTAGGAGCACCATCAGTTGTCACACTGGCTAGTTTAGCCCAGTTCAGCTCCAAACTATTCACAGTTTGGCAAACCTTTTCATAGATACCCTCTCTTCTTGGTTCTTTCGGTAAAGTCACGTAGAAGGGAAGTAATAAAATAATCAAAATAAAACATAATCAAATAATTTGCATATCAAGAGGAATTTAGCATATTTATGGGAAATGCAGGAATGTTATTAGTACTACATATGCAGCACGGGCATATATAGTACTAATCACATTCCTGCATTTCCCATAAATATGCTAAATTCCTCTTGATATGCAAATTATTTTGTCAAGGCGCTCTTTCCCCCGTTTCCAACCCAACTTATATATGCTCCAAGCTCGTGTGCTGTTTCATTCAGACGCTGTCTCCCCGACAGACCTGGTTTTCACCTGAGGACGGCTGCTTGTGTTGTGGCCGAAACGTCGTGAGAATTATTTTATTATGTTTTATTATTTTATTATTTCCCTTCTATGTGACTTTACCGAAAGAACCAAGAAGATGAATCCCTGCAGTCACGAAAGCTTTAAATCGAAAGATATCCTCTCCTGTAGATGTTCCTTTGATGCTTTGCAGTGCAGCAAGCTCTTCTGTGACTTCGAAATAGTCATTCGTCCCACGAATAAAAATTAGAAGTTGTGCAGAATCACGAACATTATTGCTTTCGTCGAGTGCCAAGGAAAAATAGGAAAGTTTTTTTGTGGAGTTTTGCAAATGCTGATGCAAATTGTCTCCCATTTCTTCAATCCTCCGTGTAATTGTAGGTCCTGAAAGACTCACTGTACTAAATAAATCGGCCTTCTCTAGACACATCTCTTTGGCAACAGAAAGAAGGCATTCTTTAATAAATTCTCCCTCCACGAATGGTCTGCCAGTGCACGCTATTAGCTTGGCAACTTGAAAACTTGCTCGCAGTGATGAAATATTTATCTGCTTCTGCTTCACAAAAGTATTTTACTGAGTTGTTAATGTATTTTTCAGTTTTAATATTTTATCTTTTCTCACTTCTCCGACCAAACAATCATATTTATCTTTATGTTGAGTTTCATAGTGTCGACGTAAATTGTATTCTTTGAACACAGACACTATATTCTGGCATATCAGACACACAGCTCTTTCCTTGTACTGCATGAAGAAGTAATCATAAGTCCACTGTTCTTTGAATATCCTACACTCCGAGTCAATTTTTCTTTTTCTTGACATCATTGTTTCCTAGGGAGTCAAGATTGCTATTAGTAAAATACCAATATATATAGTGCTACAAAAACAATATACCAGCAATAACTTTGCCCACACAGAGACATACAGACTGCACTGCCCATCAATGCAGTCTGATTGGGGGAACTCCGCCCCCTCTCCCTCTTCCACCAATGACCGTCCTTCTCATGTAGAAAAAAAGTAACAGACAGGCAGCGGCGGCAAAAACACCCGGCGGGCCGGATAAATGTCCTCGGCGGGCCGCATGTGGCCCGCGGGCCATAGTTTGAGGACCCCTGCTCTATACCATAGAGCCCAATGCATCTCCGACCAGGAACACATTGCCAGTGAACTCAAACACGTACGCCAAGCTCTTAAGGCTAATGGTTACTCCGACTACACAATCCTTACATTGGAGAAACCAAACGACATGTCTCGGACCGCATCCGTGAACATAAAGCTGACCTGAAACACGGTAGGACAAACACCTCAGCCGTGGCAGATCACTGTTACAATTCAGTGGGTTCACATGACATTGACTTCTCCAAGACAGAGGTTCTCTGCAAGCCATCTGGCTATCATGAGAGATTCGTTCATGAGGCGATCCACATATACAAACACAGAGACAATTTCAACCGAGAAGATGGATTCTGGCTCAGCAATCATTGGAAGGACGTAATAAACCACTTCGGATCTTAACTGATTGTTGTTCACGTTTATGGTGACTTTCAGACCGCAGTCCACTCACTGGCATTAACTGTGTATCTTGTGTTCTCCACAGGGAATGCATTATTTGCTCCGCTGCGGATCTCCTGCCACCGTTTTCCCATTCACATGTTTCATTGCTTCTACATACTATTAACATGCCCTCCCTTTGTTAATGCTACCCCCCCCCCTCCCTTTGGTGCTGCTGATCCTGCATAATGCATGGGCATAATATGACTTTGAAACCCCCCCGCCCACCTCCTACGCATTTCCCATGAATATGCTAAATTCCTCTTGATATGCACATTCTTTTGTTAAGGCTCTCTTCTTCTTCCACCTCCAACTCAGCTTATATATAAGCTCCTAGCTTGGCAGTGTCTCATTCTTCACCTGAAGACGGCTGCTTGCGTTGTAGCCGAAACGTCGTGAGAATTATTTGATTTTATTATGTTTTATTTTTATTATTTTATGACTTCCCTTCTACGTGACTTTACCGAAAGAACCAAGAAGATGAATCCCTGCAGTCACGAAAGCTTTAAATCAAAATTGAACGTTGGGTTGTTCGGTCAATGGCCTGCAGGGTCAACGGCGGCGTGGTGTATTCCGCAAATATGCCCGACTGTGAGGGCGGGCACAAGCCGGCGTGAGTAGGTTAAACGTTGAGATTTATCACGGGGTGACCAGCCCCTCCCCACCCAGCCCCCCCCATCCAGCCCCTCCCCACCCTCCCCTCTCCACCCAGCCCTACCTCTCCCATTTTTGGATGCACGACGGACGGACGGACACAATAATCCCCTGTGTGCTGGTGGAACCAGGTGGTTCCTACCAGTAAACTATTCACGTGTCGTTAACCCACCCACCACCCGACGCCACCAATGAGTCGGGGGTTTGTCGCGTGAACAAAGCGTGCAAGACGTGTCTGTGAGTACTTCAGCCGGCATCGCGGGGTGATGGCGAGCAGCAGTTTGGCATCCCCAATGGGCAATTCTGGCAAGTCGCCTGATGAAGCTGGCTCTAATCACCAGCGAAACGTCGTACTCCAATTGTCAATGTTGGGGATTTAATCTCGCCATAGACTCCCCCCCCCCCCTTTTATGAATAAGGGGCCGTCCATAAATGACGTCACGCGATTTTGGACAATTTTTGACCCCCCCCCCACCCATTTCGTCACACGGCGTCACAAAAAGTCAGACCCCCCCTCCCTCAAATATGACGTCACAAAGCTCTGCCCCCCCCCCAAATATAAAACATGCTTCAAATCGCTTTAGACTATTGTCATTGTAGTGCGAATTTAATGTGGCGCTGCACTCTGATGTTGTAGGAGAAAAAAGTATATTTAAGTAGAACGTGTTGTCTATATTCATTTAAAGTTGCGCATTTTAATGTGACGTCACATTTCTCAAACACCCCCCCCCTAGGTGCGTGACGTCATTTATGGCCGGCCCCTAAGAATCCCCACCCCGCCGAGTCACGTGCCTCCCTCCCGCAGCGGATCGAGCACGCGCGGCTCTGCTGACGACGACGTCACCGCGATTGCAGCGGGCGCTGCGCTCCGGGTATCGCTCCGCCGGGCTGTGATTCGCCCTCGCCGCGTCACGACCGCAGCGTGGAGGAGGCGGGCAGGTGCCGTCGCGCGAAAAATAATCCCCGTCCCCTCCTCCCCGCGTTTCGTGCGGGAACAGAGGAAGGCGAATCTGGGTGTGGGGGGCTCCCCCCACCACCCCTCACACACGCAGATAACTAATGTACAGCTCAGGATCAAGTATAATCGATCCACTGCTGGATGGAAATCCTCTCTCGCACAGTTATTCACAATCCCCGTTCAAAACCAACGACACGGCGATTACATGATTTCGCTTTGCATTCGATCCGGGAATCGATTTTTTCTTTTCTCGCCGTCAATCGCCTACTTTGTGGTCGATTATTAAAGTTACAAATTGTTTGTTTGTTCTCTATCATGTTGTAGTTAGTTATGTGAATGCTCATTCGTGGTCACAACACATCATTTGTACGCACGGGATAGTGCAGATATTATATAGCGAATCGAAAACATCGATTCAACTGGCGGTCAGCTGATCGGGATGTGTTCGTCAGCTGGTCGCGTGCTGGACTCTTGACTGGGACGCTACCGGCGGGGAGGTGAGTGGTGAGTAGTGAGTGAGTGGTGAGTAGTGAGTGAGTGGTGAGTGAGTGGTGAGTAGTGAGTGAGTGGTGAGTAGTGAGTGAGTGGTGAGTAGTGAGTGAGTGGTGAGTGAGTGGTGAGTAGTGAGTGAGTGGTGAGTGGTGAGTAGTGGGTGAGTGGTGAGTAGTGAGTGAGTGGTGAGTAGTGAGTGAGTGGTGAGTGAGTGGTGAGTAGTGAGTGAGTGGTGAGTAGTGAGTGAGTGGTGAGTAAGTAGTGAGTGAGTGGTGAGTGGTGAGTAGTGGGTGAGTGGTGAGTAGTGAGTGAGTGGTGAATAGTGAGTGAGTGGTGAGTAGTGAGTGAGTGGTGAGTGGTGAGTGAGTGGTGAGTAGTGAGTGAGTGGTGAGTGAGTGGTGAGTAGTGAGTGAGTGGTGAGTAGTGAGTGAGTGGTGAGTAGTGAGTGAGTGGTGAGTAGTGAGTGAGTGGTGAGTAGTGAGTGAGTGGTGAGTGAGTGGTGAGTAGTGAGTGAGTGGTGAGTAGTGAGTGAGTGGTGAGTAGTGAGTGAGTGGTGAGTGAGTGGTGAGTAGTGAGTGAGTGGTGAGTGGTGAGTAGTGGGTGAGTGGTGAGTAGTGAGTGAGTGGTGAGTAGTGAGTGAGTGGTGAGTGAGTGGTGAGTAGTGAGTGAGTGGTGAGTAGTGAGTGAGTGGTGAGTAAGTAGTGAGTGAGTGGTGAGTGGTGAGTAGTGGGTGAGTGGTGAGTAGTGAGTGAGTGGTGAATAGTGAGTGAGTGGTGAGTAGTGAGTGAGGTGAGTGGTGAGTGAGTGGTGAGTAGTGAGTGAGTGGTGAGTGAGTGGTGAGTAGTGAGTGAGTGGTGAGTAGTGAGTGAGTGGTGAGTAGTGAGTGAGTGGTGAGTAGTGGGTGAGTGGTGAGTAGTGAGTGAGTGAGTGCTGAGTAGTGAGTGAGTAGTGAGTGGTGAGTGAGTGGTGAGTAGTGGGTGAGTAGTGAGTGGTGAGTGAGTGGTGAGTAGTGAGTGAGTGGTGAGTAGTGAGTGAGTGGTGAGTAGTGAGTGAGTGGTCAGTAGTGAGTGAGTGGTGAGTAGTGAGTGAGTGGTGAGTAGTGAGTGAGTGGTGGGTGAGTGGTGAGTAGTGGGTGAGTGGTGAGTAGTGAGTGAGTGGTGAGTAGTGGGTGAGTGGTGGGTGAGTGGTGGGTGAGTTGTGAGTAGTGAGTGAGTGGTGAGTAGTGAGTAGTGAGTGAGTGGTGAGTAGTGGATGAGTGAGTGGTGAGTAGTGGGTGGTGAGTGGTGGGTGAGTGGTGGGTGAGTTGTGAGTAGTGGGTGAGTGGTGGGTGAATTGTGAGTGGTGAGTAGTGAGTGAGTGGTGAGTAGTGGGTGAGTGGTGAGTAGTGGGTGAGTGAGTGGTGAGTAGTGGGTGGTGAGTGGTGGGTGAGTGGTGGGTGAGTTGTGAGTAGTGGGTGAGTGGTGGGTGAATTGTGAGTAGTGAGTAGTGAGTGAGTGGTGAGTAGTGGGTGAGTGAGTGGTGAGTAGTGGGCGGTGAGTGGTGAGTAGTAGGTGGTGGGTGGTGAGTGATGGGTGAGTAGTGAGTGAGTGGTGAGTGGTGGGTGAGTTGTGAGTAGTGAGTGGTGGGTGAGTAGTGAGTGGTGGGTAGTGAGTGGTGAGTAGTGAGTGGTGAGTAGTGGGTGAGTGGTGAGTGGTGATTAGTAGGTGGTGAGTAGTGAGTGAGTGGTGAGTAGTGAGTGAGGCTGGTGTGTGTGTGTGGGGAGCGGTGGTGTAGTGGTTAGCGCTACGCTGCGCTAGGGCCAACACCGGTGACGATCATCTGAACCGCTCCTGAGCCTCCCCCTAGGTCGACTCAGCCTCAAATGAGTACCTGGTGCGGTGTGTATAACACCGCCGCTAGGGAGACAAAGGCGGCCGGGCGTGGTGCTGGCCACCCATCCCCTCGTGCGGCCCTTTTCGGTGCTCGCGAACAGCAACTTGGCCCCAACAGTCGACACGGGGCAAGGGGGGTATCTTTGCTCGTGGCCATGCTGATGATCTCTCATGAGCGTGGACGCGGAAGGCCACAGCCGAGAGAGGCTCGTGGTGAGGCCTGCGGTGTTTCCCTCCCGCCCGACTGCCCTTCGTGCCCGGCCCGACTGCCCTCCCGCCCGAATGGCCTCCTCCTGCCCTCCTCCTGCCCGACTGCCCTCCCGCCCGGCCCGGCCCGACTGCCCATCCTGTCCGTCTGCTCGCCCTCCTCCCACCCGACTGCCCTTCCCGCCCGACTGCCCTTCCCGCCCAACCCACTACCACTAACCCCACCCCTAACACTACCACTAACCCCACCACTAACACTACCACTAACCATACCCCTAACACTACCACTAACACTACCACTAACCCCACCACTAACACTACCACTAACCCCACCACTACCACTAACCCCACCACTACCACTATCACTACCACTAACCCTACCCCTAACACTACCACTAACCCCACCCCTAACACTACTACTAACCCTACCACTAACACTACCACTAACCCTACCACTAACACTACCACTAACCCCACCCCTAACACTACCACTAACCCCACCACTAACACTACCACTAACCCTACCCCTAACACTACCACTAACACTACCACTAACCCCACCACTAACACTACCACTAACCCCACCACTAACACTACCACTAACACTACCACTAACCCTACCCCTAACACTACCACTAACCCCACCCCTAACACTACTACTAACCCTACCACTAACACTACCACTAACCCTACCCCTAACACTACCACTAACCCTACCCCTAACACTACCACTAACCCCACCCCTAACACTACTAACCCTACCACTAACACTACTACTAACCCTACCCCTAACACTACCACTAACACTACCACTAACCCTAACACAGTGGTCCACAACCTTTACTGCAGCCTTGCACCCATTTGATTTTCGATCGTAATTGTTTTAATATTGTTAATAACTACTTAGGGGTTGATAAGACAAAGTAGTTGTGTAACTTAACATGCCCCGTGCCTTAACTTGGGTTTTCGATGATTTACCTTCTAGAACAAATCTGGCCATGTCTCGCACCCCGCCCCAGAAAGGGCATCCCACGCACCCCCAGGGGATGCTGGGTGATGTACCCCAGGTTAAGAAGAAGAAGAGCCACTGCTCTAAGGCAGCGGTCCACAACTTTTTTGGAACCAGGGATCGGTTTCGTGGAAGACAATTATGTCACGGACTGGGGGGGGGGGGGGGTTCATCATTGGGTCTTTCCCCATTTTCAAAGAAGCTCTCCAGCGACGTTTGTTTTTTACTCATTTTGGCTCGGGGTTAGAGCTTGTGGGCTCACCAAGACTGTGACTGAGACAAATGGCAGTGAGGGAAAGAGGCGCGGACGGAAGTGGTGAATAATAAAACAATGAGGGCGGGCTCCACTCGCGGACTCACCGCTCTCACCTCCTGCTGCTGTGCGGCCCGGTTCCTAACGGGCCACGGACCGGTAGCGGTCCGCGGCCCAAGGGTTGGGGACCCCTGCTCTAAGGGAAGCAAGCGGGACTGGGTAGGCCATGTCCACGGCTCGAAGGTACGACAATGGTCGAGACGAACCAAACGAGGGGATCACGTCCCAGAGAGTGTGGTGCCCGCGGAGATGGAGCAACGAAATCGGCTCTTGCGCAGCAGGAGCGAGATGGATCGTTGCACCAGAGAACCGCCTGCAGAGGCGACGGCTTGGGAGAGCGAGGGCCTCATTGAGCGGGTGGATAAAACCACGGCTGATCACGATGGTGACAGTTGTCTTGCGAGAGCATCGGGTGACGGAAGGGGCCTTGATCCACGCGTCAGGGTAGCGAGCTTCTACCTGGAGGGTCTAACTCCTTGGCAATGCGGTCTCTGGCTCGCTGTCAATTCGTGTTAACCCCTCGCCTGCCAGGGTACGCGATCGTCGGCGCCAAGCGTCCCGCGGTTGTCGAGATGTGGATTAGGCGGTGGGTGGCTCAAAGTTCAAGAGCGTTGAGCCGTCAACGGCTGGGACCCTGGGTTCACATCCAGGCAGCCGCCCAACTGTGATTAGATCCAGGTTCTCGAGTGTATAGTGGAGATGGTGTATGCCTCAGCCTGGTCACAAACAACTCCGCAAACACTATTGAATTCTAGCTTTTTTATTACTCTCATTCGACGAGCATTACTCCAAGGTGGCAGGGCTGGTCGAAAACACTGCCTCCTGTTTTTATCAGATGCAACCTTGCAATGATTTTGCTCTATGACAGTGGTTCTTCTTCTACTTCACCTGGGATGCACGCACCCCGGGGGTGCTGCGAGAGATGCCCTTTCTGGGGGTGCGACACGTGGCCAGATTTTGTTTTCAAAGGTGAATAATTTAAAACACAAATTGAGCACGGGCATGTCGAGTACAACTACTTTGTTTGATCAAACCCAATGTATTTATGAACCCAACTTTTTTTTACGATTCAGAACCAAATGGGTGCAGGCTGCAGTGAAAGGTTAAGACACCACACTGCTCTGTGATGATATCGGCGTCCGTGGGCTGTCTTATTTCTCGGGGGTACAAATGCACTGCTACTGGAAAATCACGAGAAACGTTTATTCCGTATGACATTTTAATGAATGTTTAATGCTTGCCTATGGGCTATGCATTAACTAGATCCTTGCATGTCAGCTGCCTTGTTACTTTGAAATCCTGTGCAAAAGCTTGGTCCTACAAACCCGAGGTTTGTCAATGAGAATCTTTCTAAATTGTATTTCTTGCAATATAAGTACTCTCTGTAGCTTAGTGGAACTCGTTTCCAAACACCCCTTCATGGGCCCTGCTTCATAGCGCTCTGCCATCCTCTCTGCCATCCTCTCTGCCATCCTCTCTTCATGTTCTCGTCATAGCTCTCTGCTCTGAAGAAGGTGCATTCCCAAAAACGTCGCCATTTCTTTACGTGGCGGTGTTGTTGCCGTGTGTGTGTTTGGGATTACGTTATTGATGCTTGTGCGCAGCGTCTTTTGTTCAGATGGGTCTCGTGTCGTCTTACCGGACCTCCTGTGTTTTGAGCAACGCGCATTGGCACGCAGCATTGCAGTGTACAAAAGCTCCCTTCCTTATCCACACCACCAGTTCAAGAAAACTGAATGTGCGTGGCGCCCGCGAGTGTCGTTTTCAAAATCGCCCACTCGAGAGTTGAGAAGATGCGGCCACCCCCGCCGCCACCACTACCACCACCTTAGGCACCAGTGCCAACGGCGGCCGCTGTCGGTCGTTACCTTGAAGGCGACGAGGTAGCAAACCCCCATACGGCCCTTCGTCTCGGTGAGGATCATAGCCGGCGTGTGGTGGCCACGTGGCCACCAGCTGGGCAGGTTGCTTGAGAGCGCACTCTGCTCCGCTTCCGAGCGCGTTTGCTGCCCACCCGATGGGATTGGCCCCAACGGTTCTAAAATAACCACAGGAAGAGGAGCGGTCTCCGGCGAAGCAGGTGAACGTCGACCGCGTGAAATACTCTCATATAAGCGCGTCAACTTTATCTATCTGTGATGAACGCTGCACTTTTCGTCGTCCCTGCGCCCCCTGTATGAACGACGGAGGCGCAGGGACAGACGCTCGATTACGTTAGAATCGATCTGCAGACGGCGGTCTCGCACGGCCAGCAGCTCCGTGTCGCCTTATCTCGATCCCGCAATCCCAAACAGGTGAAAGTCCACATCGAACCGAACCCCCAGCAAGGCCATCTACTTAACGACGAGAGAAAATTCACACGAAATGTCGTTTTCAATGAAGTTTTCCAGATGTAAAATGATATAAGCTTTTAATGAAGAAATACAATTATCTAATTTAAAACAATATAATTCAAAGATGTTTCATTTTACAACTTCAAAACGTAGCATCGGGTGCTTGCGTGAATGCGTCGTTCGTGTGCAACTTTTTACGTGACTTTCCTGGCCAAAGGCCGCGAATGGTTGCTCGGGAGTGCCGTCGTAGGTGCGGCGCCCCCGAAAAACCCCTCGTCGTAAATTGATAAAAATGCAGAAATCGCTGCCAGGACAGGTTCGCTCGGCGTGCGATCGGTGCGTACAACGTCTAAAAATAAATTGCGGCATATCCACGTCATGCTTTGTGAAGGTATTGCGACAGTAATGCCTCCGAGCCGCTTGTCGTTCCCGGAACGTGCAAAATCGCGATTCAGTTGATGACGCATCCTGTCCAAGCCCAGTTGTCTTAACTGTCAATAGTCTGTCCCTCACCACTCGGTTTAATCCCACGCATACCACCTCTCCGTGCTGCTGATGAAAGTGCTGTTTAATGTACGTTGAACTTCTTTCACACCGTACGTAGCCAATCGTGCTAATCGGAGGTGCGGGGAAGGTCAACAAACAGAAAAAGCAGCTCTAAAGAAATTATTTTCAGTCTCGTGCAGCCTGGAGCAATTCCACCGCCGAAAAATGGCAAAGATATATTTTTCGAGGAGATGTCTTAAAGTGAAGATCCTGAACCCTATTGAAAAACAATAGTTTAGTAACTTTTTTTTATTTTTGTGAAATGTTCCTGCGATGGTTCCTCCCAGCCTTGGTCTTGTCTCAAATGTCACTGAAAATATTTACAAAAGACTCAGCATCTGCGACTGTCACCTGCTCCCGCCACCACCTGCCCGTGTGTAAAACTATACACGGGGCACGCATGCACACACGCGCGCTCACGCACACGCGCTCACACACACGCGCTCACACACACGCGCTCACACACACGGCCCTGGCAGCCTCGTAGGAAAACAGAGAGAATAATTAGGGCAAAGATTCGCCATTGCATCAGCTTGGACTTCCCAGGTATTAAAATCGACCTCTGTCTTTGCTGACGGCCGTGAACGTCGCAAAGGTCAAACTGCACAGACTCTTTGCAGTGCTTTGATGGAGATAGATTTAAAACGCTTAACTATTGAAAACTGAACTTATTTTTTACTTTACCAGGTAAGGTCCCTCTGAGCTGTGTAGCTGTTTTTCAGAACCGACCTGGCTGCCACAAATGCTAGCTCAACGAAGTGGCTTATCGCGTGGAAATTTGTAGCAGCAGCGAAATATTATAAACGCATGTTTCTAAATGTGGAGGGAAAAAAAAACCGGCGGACCCGGAGAAAAATCCACGCGACCACGGGGAGAGAGTGCACGAAAACTCCGCATATACAGCGGGCGTCAGTGTTGGGATTGAACCCGCGACCTCCTGTACACCAGGCGAGGTAGTTAACATCTCGCCACCACGGCAGTACATCAAGTGGATTCATTTCCATCTGTCTTCCATCTGTACGAAGATGAAGGGTTATACCACCCCCCTTCTCCAGGTGCTTTGGTATCCTCCCACGTGTTTAAAGGGTAACTTGCAGAGTTGACCAAACATCCCGAATGTACGGCCACAGAGCTTGGGCGATTGTTAGCAGTGCTGGTTCTGGCTGCTGCGGCGTTACAAATTTGCGTGTATATTGATATTTAAAGCGAACGTGTTGACAAAGTAAAACATGACGTGAGAGTTTCAGCGTGGAGATGGATGTCCTTTCCGGATTAAAAAAAAAACTGAAGATCCGATCAAGTTAATGAAATGTTGGATAATCCCTTTTTTTAATATTCGGATTGACCCAGAAACATAAAATATATCACCGGCATGACATCATTTCCTTCGAAGATGTGAAAAATAAGAATAAGTTTTACCATATCTGGCAATATAACAGGTGCTTCGATGTTAAAATTCCAAGTTGATACCTTTTGCAAGGAATAAATTACTGCATGACCCACACACTTTACTTGTGGTGAACATGCAGACAAACATGGCTCTGATAACCTTTGGAATTGCCTTTGAAACTGATTGGCCTACACCAGAGAAAGAAGCCTGTCCCGAGACGAATTTAACCATATTTGTACTTTTATTCTTATTTATGTAGTGCATTCATTTATTATTTCACTCGATTTTTATTAAGATAATGGTAAATAAATCCAGAGTTCCTTGCACAGAAACTTTGTATATTGACTATTTGCATATTGAGGTATTTACTACATCAGGTTTTCATACAAAAGTCAGAAGTTGACACGAAAAATCCACCCAGCTCTGCGGTGAGCGATGTTCCCACCGCAAACCGAGACGTTTGCGAACAGGTCGTGCGAACAGGTCGTACGAAGTTACAATTGGCATACAGGAACATCGTATTCCTCGTGATGCGTGTCTGTTTAAAATACTCTAAACCGTTGGTTCTTAACCTTGAGTGCAGCCTTGCACCCCTTGGGCTCTCAATCGTTAAAACAATTATAATGTCAATAAATACATAGGTTTGATGAAACAAAGTAAAGTTGTCGCGCGACAGCGATGAGAAACCGCAAACTCTTCTCTGTTCCAGAAGGGGACCTCGCGTGCGCCAGCCGGGAGAGCCATGATGGAGGGCGTGGAGGTGGTGGTGGTGCACGGCGGCGCCGGCGTCGTCAGCGACGACCGGGCCGAGGCCTGCAGGGCGGGCGTGAAGCGCGCTGCGGCCCAGGGGGCCCGCGTGCTCGCCGCGGGGGGCTCCGCCATGGATGCCGTGGAGGCGGCGGTGGTGCTGCTGGAGGACGACCCCAACTTCAATGCCGGTAGGGCGCTCACGTGACCCCCCCCCTCCATGCGTGTGACCCCCCCCCACGCGTGACCCCCACCCCCACGCGTGACCCCCCCCCCGCGCTTGACCCCCCCGCTTGACCCCCCCCGCGTGACCCCCCCTCCGCGTAACCCCCCCGCCCGCGTGACCCCCCCCCCGCGCGACCCCCATCCCCCGCGCGACCCCCCATCCCCCGCGCGACCCCCCATCCCCTGCGCGTGACCCCCACCCCCCCCCCCCGCGCACGACCCCCCATCCCCCCATGTGTGACCCCCCGCCACTCCCCCCCCCCTCCCCCGCGTGTGACCCCGTTGCGCAGGCGTGGGCTCGGTGCTCAACGCGGAGGGGGATGTTGAGCAGGATGCCCTCGTGATGGACGGCTCGCGCCTCGCGGCCGGCGCCGTCTCCTGCGTGCGCAACATCGCCAACCCCGTGCTCCTCGCCCGCCTCGTCATGGACAAGGTGCCGCGCTACCCACCCTCGCCCTGGACGGGTGGATGTATGTATGTATGTTGAACTTCTTTCGCACCGTACGTAGCCAACCGTGCTAATTGGAGGTGCGGGGGAAGGACAACAAACTAACCAAAAAGCAATTCTAAAGCAATGAGGTGTCAAGCTAGATGACGATTTAAAAGTGCATCACAGCTCCCAGTGGCTGCCTAATATCGGAAGGGAGAGCATTCCAGACCGCTGCAGAAGCGCATCTGAAAGCGCCGCGCGATGCGGTGACCGCCTTTGTTCCATGGCCAGCCAAAAGCCGCTGCTGCCAGGATGACCGGAGTTTGCGTGATGGTGGTTTATCAGCGAGTTGGAAGGATGGATGCAGAGTTGGACGGGTGGACAGGTGGACACGCGGGCGGTCGCAGGTCATTGTTGGGTTAGGCCATGTTATGATCTGACCAAAATGTGTGTGAATACTACCCTCCAATATCTGACACAGCCAGACAAATTAAATTGTCACGCATGCAAGCGTTGAACCACACGCCGATTAGCATTTGCTTCAGTTCGCTCACCGGTGATTTGAAGGGCAATTCCTCACAACTCAAGTTAGCTGGAGATTGTATCTTGCCGCTATATTTACCGGCGAGTGAGCTGACGCCATAAGTCCTCCGCATATATACAGGGCCCCCAGAGGCACGTAGCAACAGCGAACGGCGATGATGCTGCTGTGACCGACGTGTCCTGGTGAGCATGAAACCGACTTTGCACCACCGCTGACCACTGGGACGATCGCGTCTTACCAGCTCCTTGGGCTGGCGGCATAAACAACGACAAGAAAAAAAAACTGCCGTGCGTTCTGGACAAGGCTGTGCGAGGTTTTGCGCGCGCGATGCTTGCACACCGCCGGCCGCGTGCAAGCGAGCACGGGTGGCTAAACACCGGCCTCCGTCTGCCTGCGTGCGGTGGCAGACGAGTCACACGATGCTGACGGAGAGCGGAGCGGCGGCATTCGCGCGCTCCCAGGGAGTCCCCGAGGTTCCCGCGGAGCAGCTGGAGACGCCACGCTCCCGCCAGCGCTGGCAGAAGAACCGGCGGCCCGACCCCCAGCGCCACCCAGACGAGTAGGGCCCCCCCCTCACTACTCCCACCCCCCACCCACCCCCTACCCACACTGCACCAGTACACACCAAAGTTCCCTCTTACCTGTAATATGTCTCTAGTCTCTAGGATAGTCTACGGGTCCACTGTTAGCCTTCCGCAGTGGTGGCCAATACCCCAAGCACCGTGATCCATCCTGGTGCTTGTCACCGGGAAGCTACGACCAACAATCGCGCGGGCGGATTCAACCCTGCAATGTACTCCAGACATAGCAAGTACACACGCCGACTTGGTAGAAGTGATGTGTTTCAGTGATCTTCATTGCAAGGCCACCGCGGGCCCACTGGCAGCCCCTGATGGCCTTTATCGCGGGCCCTGACGCGCACCCCTCATCGTCATCATTGTGTTGTCACAAGCCCCCAATGGTTTCAAATGGTGTGGCGGCCCTCGCACTAATGATGGCTTATCGGCGAAAGTGGCGCCCCTCTCAAACTTAGTGAAGCACACTGCTGTTTAATGCACAAATTCTTAGTCAGGGTATTTGCATTTGCCATCGGCCGTAAATAAATGTTCTGTCTGCCAATGTCGGTGTTTGTTCCGAGTTGTCCTGATATCCACAACAAAATCGCTCGCGATGATCCACCCGCGGATCGCGATTCACATACTGGCCTCCACCGCTCTATCGGATGGCTCACCGCCATTTACAATAAGTTTAAAAAGCATCATCATCATCATCATCACCTGCCTCCTAGGGCAGGTTACAGGAAATGTTATGAGAACAGTATCACATTAATCTCATCACACACAAACGGTTTTGTCAACTAGTTTGTGTCACGCATGTAGTGTCAACGATTCAGAGACAGAGTTTCTAGGAGGCACTTTCTTCATTAACAACTTCCACGGTCTCGTCCACACACTCTCCACACGAGCTTAGCCTAGCCTGTACACAACACCGGCCGTCTAGCACTGACGGTGCTGACTGAGATAGCCAACTACTCTCCTTCGTAGCGCGATATCTAGTGGAGACGTTGAGCGACGACGGCGACGAGACGACAGCGACGACAAGACGAGTCCACTCCCAGAACCGGCCTGGGGCCTCCAGACGGGGTCCTCCGTGACCATTGCCCTAGTTCCTCCCCCTTGCCCACACCCCGTGCTCACGCCCTCACCGGCGCGTGAGCTGTCTGTCCACCACAGTTGCCGCTGCTGTCCACCAGCCGGCGCTATTGCACTACACATGTATTTACTCCCACTTGCATTAACAGAGCCACTGGTGAGACGTTAACTATCTCACCTGGTGTGCAGGAGGTCGTGGGTTAGATCTCGACCCTAACGCTTGTATAGTTGGAGTTTGCAGTGTCTCTCTCCCCATGGTCGTGTGGATTTTTCTCCACATTTAGAATTAACATCACGCGTTTTGAGTATTTGGCTGCTGCTATAAATTTCCACGCGATGATAAGCCACTTCATTGAGATATAATTTGTGATAGCCAGGTCGTTTCTGAAAAAAAGCTGCATAGCTCAGTGAGGCCTTGCCTGGTAAAATAAAAATAGTTAGATGGAGCCGGTGCAGAGCCACGCTTGACATTGGAGAAGAAGGGAGCCCACAGACACCAAGGCAATAGAGCCTCCCATAAAGCACACATACACACAATGGAGTGCTGCTCAGCGAACACAACGCAAGACAACATGGATCTACTAAGCGGCGTCTAAATGCGATCGCGTCTCAGGGCACCGCACAAAAATAGAGAGCACTGCTGTTGTGGTGCTGAGAGGCAGCCAACAGACTCGATTCTGATTGGTTGTTCCCCGTCATGGCGTGGCACCTGTTTAAAGGAAGCCTGGTCTCACTTCCTGAATTCTCATTGAAACTAACATTTTTTATATTACCAGGTAAGGCCCCTCTGAGCTATATTGCTCTTTTATAGAAGCAACATGGCCACCACAAAGATAGCTCAACGAAGTGGCTTGTCACCACGTGGACATTTATAGCAGCAGCCGAATACTCTTAAACGCACGTCGATCCTAAATATGGAGGGAAAAAACCAGAGGACCCAGAGAAAAATCCACGTGACCACGGGGAGAGACACCGCAAACTCCAAATATACAGCAGCAGGCGTCAGGGCCAGGATCTAACCCACGACCTTCTGCACACCAAACGAGGTAGTTAACAACTTGCCACATTGAGGCCCTGGGTACTTTATCCTGATGATGCCTCCCTCACCTATTCACAAATCAAACATCGTGCCCGTTACTAAACTTGGACGCGGTTGCGAGATTTGCTCTTCAACTCGCCAACAATAATTTGTACGCTGTTTAAACGCTCGTGCACGCGACAATTTAACTTGTTTGTCTGTGTCGGGTGGCGGAGAGTTGCACGACACACGTCTATTTAGATCACTTACATGGCCTCACGAAAACAATCAGTCGATAGTAAAACTACATCCCGTGGCGACGCCTCCCTGTGGCTGTGGCGCTCTCCCCCCCCCCCCCTCCGCCGACTGGCAGGCTGCACGGCACCGTGGGAGCGGTGGCGCGGGACCGCTCTGGCAACCTGGCGTGCGCCACGTCCACCGGAGGGATGACCAACAAGATGGTGGGTAGGGTTGGAGACACTCCGTGCATTGGTGAGTCACGCCGACGGCTGAACTACATCCGGTGACGCGGTTGGTCCATGGAGGTGGCACGGTCACCTTGCGCGGCTGTCGAGGGCCGGCGTCGCCACTCGCCCCTTTTCGTGAGCTGCCCAACCGTAAAAGTTTCGCACTTAAGTTGGCGGCTGACTTTGAAGCGGGCTGTGACGGAATCGTCGATCTTGCTGATGTTAGCCAATCAAATCGAGGGGGCGTGGTGGGGTTACACGACTACTCGATCCAAGTATTGCTTGCCAATGAATCACTTGCCAATTAATTGATTGCCAGAGAATCTTAATGAATCGTCATTTTCAAGATGGCTGCCCGTTCAATTTCGCGCGACTGCCGGATTGACGGAGCGGAATCGATTACGATCATGCATCGATTTACGATCCACAATGACCATATATGGGCGAAGACAACGCTCCCTTCGGTCAACGCCTTATTTTCTTCCATATATGGGCAAATCACCGATCGGTGATCTTGTCGCGTGTCCAAATTCATCGTGTTAAAGCGCCGCACCCGTGGTCACCACCCCCCCCCCGCCTCCTCGTGATCCGTGGTGCAAACAAATCCCTCGAGACGCCGGTGTACAGCAGCAAGAGCAGTTTATGGGAACGCGGTCGCAAGAGGTCACACATCTGGTGCAACGGCTCCTTCGCTGACTCCGCGTTGATGAATGAATGCCCCGTCCGTGGCCGCACTCGCGGGCCTGGCACGAGGTCCCTGGTGCAAACTCTCGGTTGAGGGTCGCACCGGAAGCCTCTTTTGTCTCCTGGATGTGTTTCCACTTTCTTGCACCGGAGAACCTCCTCGGTGCCTCGCCTGAGCGTGAGCGCCGCCAGGGTCGGGAGAGGCCTCATACCGATACGTCCCGTGAGCGCCACCGGGGTCGGGCAGAGACCTAGAGCCGGGCGGGCGTGTGGGCAGGCGGGTGGGCGGGCAGGTAGTGCAACGTCAAGTGCAATCACAACAACGACGACGATGATAACAACAACGGGCGTAGGGGAAAAGGAACCAAGTGTTTTAATTCGGGCTCTCGTGACAAACTCGTGTCAACAATAGTTCGAAGATACTTCGTGGAGGCACAACGCATGCACGCAAGGGTGTGATCGCACACAGGTTTGTGTGAAAAGGATTTTTTTTCGTGTTTTGTCAAATTATTTTATATCAGATCTCAGCAGTGAAGGCTCAGTGAGCCGAGGGAATGCAGGGCTGGGCTCGTTACACCCCGAGATGTACTCCTGCATGGTGGGGGTGGGGGGTGGGAGGTCAGTATGAAATATGTTGAAGATGATGTTAAAGTAATCGGTTCAAATCCAGCGTCGATGCTGGGCGACGTTTGATCGATGTGGGGTCTGGGGAGATGAGGGAGACCCGGCGCTTCGTGAATTTCGCGAGTGAGCCTTGGGCCCTCTATTTTGACGCCCGGTTCCTGGCAAGGCCGCTCATCGACCCCAAGTGGCGGCTTTGCGGCACGCGCCGTGCGTTGAACGTTACTCACCCAAAAAGCTTTCACCGCGCCTCCCCCCACCCACGTGCTGCTTGCTGTGACGAAGGCAAGGGAGAGATGGCCCGCTAAGTAGTGCGTGGTGAAAGTTTCGAGAGAGAGAAGGAATGCTTAGCCTGAGCCTTCTTGCGATCTCGAGTCTCGACGACCAGTGGGGAAATGGCATTGCCTCTGAAGGAATTGCTCCGAGAGATGGCGAGGTGGCTGGGTAGTGGGGCGAATTGGCTCGCAATATCAAGGGTTGACCAGTTCAACTCCCGGATGGTGGGGGGGGGGGGGGGGGGGTCGACTCGGCTCATCATCCTTTCCTCCGGGCGTTGATAAAAAGAAAATAGCTACCGCTTTGTGTCGGGAGGGTGGGAAGTCACCAATGGTTGAATCAGAATTCTGAACCTGTATTTATCCTGGAGAAACTCGATGAGCTATGAAGCTCTTTTTTATCACAGATAAGACAATACAAAACATTGGAGTGCAAAGTAAATGTGAATGGTAAGAAAATAATGAATCAATAAATAGGTAAAGTAGATGAAGAACACAATTACCAATTGTACACGTTCATAAATACTTCATGAAGTTGTAGAGAGACTGTTCTGACTCTCCCCCCGCCATATGACTGTGGCTCTGCAGGGGTGGAGGGGGGGGGTGTTAATGGGAGGATGGGCACCCGCGGCTCGATGCCCGTTTAAGCGGCAGAAGCTTTGACTCGGGAACCACGTCCATGAATGATCGCGATTCATTTTATTATCCCATTGAATGACATCTGTGACACTTCTGTACACGTGTGAAATTACTGGACATGTGTGAGCTACTGAACACGTGTGAAACTACTTGGACACCGGTGAACTTCTGGATATCTGTGACAAAGAGCTTTACAGCTCATTGGATTCCTCCTGCAGTGTAAATATAAACATTCTGACCCCATGCACCACCACCACCACCACCCACCCACCCACCGACCACCTTTTTGCAGCGCTCCTCAGCCATCTCCACGTCCCAGCTGGAGGACGTTGACTTCCGTCCCTGTGCGCCGGGGCGAGGAGATGGCATTTTGTGGCGGGCGGAGGAACCGCCCGTGTGTGTGCGCGTGTGTCGGGGTCTCATCGCACGTCGTCCCGTGCCATTAGCACCCCTCCCTGAGTTCCGTAAACCGAGCTCCCATCATCGTCGTCATCATCATCGTGGTCCCCCCCTCACCCCCCGCTTATCGCGCCGTACGATTAATGGGGCGGTCGGGGGCATGGGGAGGGTGCCGTATTTACTTTCTGTACATTCTGCGGACTGCCTCGGTACAATTGTCTGTGTGTGTGTGTGTGGGGTTGCGTGTGTTCATGTGGAGTAAACACGACAAGGTTGTTCCACAATGGCAAGGGGGGGGGAGGGGCGGGGAGGACTCGTGTTCACGCACCCCCCCCCACCCGCTCGGCGAGGCTTGCAGTCACATTGAGTTTATTTTATATTTACTTTGTATCGTCGCACTCTGTTTATCTAGGGACAGCTACACCGAGCCTCAATACTTTGTTCTTCTTTACGGGGAGGGTTCCTGCCGAGTTCATGGTGATTGGCGTGGTGGTGACCACCCGTGACCTCACAGCGATGTACGCTTGGGTTTGATTCCCGACCCGGGCGCCTCTCTGTGGAGTCTGTGTGTTCTCTCTCCGCCAATTCTAGTGAGTGTGTGAGAGTGACTGTGTGATTGTATGTAATCTGTTTGTTCTCTCTCTCTCTCCCCCTGTTTTAGTGAGTGTGTGAGAGTGACTGAGTGTATGGAGTCTGTATGTTCTCTCCCTCCCTGTTCTAGTGAGCATTTGACAGCAAGTGTGTGATTGTGTGTAGTTTGTATGTTCCCTCTCTGTTCGAGTGAGTTTGTGAGAATGAGTGTGTGGAGTCTGTATGTTCTCTCTCTCTCCCTATTCTAGTGAGCATGTGGGATAGAGTCATCTTGTTGGGCGACTTCAATGCCCGAGTTGGTCATGATGCTGGCACCTGGTCTGGAGTGATTGGAAGCCATGGGCCAGATCAGCTCAATAACAACGGTAGGAGGCTGCAATATTTTTGTACAGCCCATGGGCTTGTAATTACCAACACGCTGTTCTGGCATTGGCGCATCCACACCACATCATGGATGCATGCCGGGTCCAAGCAAGAACATCTGCTGGACTACGCAGTGATGGAACAGCGGATGCGGGCCCATGTCCTTGACTCCAGGACCTACCGTGGAGCTGATCTGCCCACTGAAATTGTCATCTGTAAGATGCGCCTGCCATTTTTCCACTCTGGTGGTGGGTGTACACCTAGGACCCCATTCAAACTCATAGTGGCCTGGTCTCAGCTAGCTGATGAAAGATGCAAGCGAGAATTTCATCATTGCTTGCGGCTGGGGTTGACATCATCCCCCACTCCTCCTGATGTCGAGGGGAAATGGGCGAGGTTTAGGACTGTGGCTCATGCAGCTGCAATAGCTGCTTTGGTTACACAGTCCAGACCTCCACAGAGATCCTGGCTGACAGAGGAAGTGTTCAGACTGGCTGAGAAAAAGCGACAGGCCAACTCTCATCGTCTACAGCATCCCATGTCAGAGAATGAGGAGGCTTACCGCAGCCTTCGCTCGGAGGTTCGGAGAGTCGTGAGGCACTGCAAGGATGGGTGGTGGTCACGGGTTGCTGAGGAGATGGAGTCTGCCTCAATGGCCCACACCTATTACCATCATTATGGGAAAAAACGGTGATCTAATCTCCGACCCCCAAGAACAGGTTTGCAGATTTGCTGACCATTTCTGTGAGGTCCTGGGGGAGGAGAAATCCCTCAGCCGGGAAAACATCATGGGACAAAGTGGGGATGACCCTGCTGAGGCTGCGGGGCCTCATATATTGGAAGAAGAAGTCACCCCCTGTGAGTGGCTGGCTGAGGTGCCATTTGTTGAGGAAATACTGAAAGCGATCCAGAGGCTGAGAACAGGAAAGGCACCGGGCAGAGATGATCTTCCAAGTGAAATGCTGAGGGAGGGTGGCGTTTGTGCACAGACTGCCCTACATGACATAACAACAGTCTGGACCACTGGACGGGTTCCACAGGATTGGAAGGATGCCCTGGTAGTCCCCCTCTTCAAGAGGCGGACTGCACAGACTTAACAACTACAGGGGCAGCTCACTCCTCAGTGTGCCGGGAAACGTCCTGGCAAGTATTATTCAACACCGCCTTGCTAGGCACGTTGAGGAGAGGTTTCAGGAAAGGGCGGTCCTGCACAGATGCCATATTTTCTTTCCGTCTGCTACATCAGAGGTGTAGGGAATTCCAACAAGACCTACATCTCTGTTTTATTGACCTAGTGAAGGTTTATGATACCATCACTAGGCCTGGGCTCTGGGTTGTTCTTCATGCTTTTGGAGTCCCTGACCCTCTGCTCACGATCATTAAGGACCTTCATGATGGTGAGCGGGCCCGGTACACTTCACGTGGCCTCAACTTGCACATAACCTGGCACAAACTTCGTGGTGACGTCACCGCCACTTAATGGCGAATGGCGCTTGTTGTTGTTGAGTCTGTATGTTCTCTCTCCCTGTTCTAGTGAGTGTGTGAGAGTGACTGTGTGAGTGTGTGGAGGCTGTATGTTCTCCCTCTGTCCCCCGTTCTGCACGGCTTTCATTCGAGTTTCTCTGGTGTCTTCCCAACTCATGCAGCCAGCTATAGCTGCACAGTTTGGTAGTACATGTTATGTATATCGTTTATTGTAAAATTTCAGTCACAGTTCCTATGATCACTGTTACATTGCTTTTATAGCTTTATTTTGGTGATTTCGAAAACGTTTTAGTTTAGCCATATTTGTTTGTTGTTGTACAGAGTTAGACTGATAACTTTAATCTAAATTGTCGTATGGTTGTTATTGTTTGACTTGCATCCCACTGGGATTTTTGCACACAACATTGATATACGGTGCTTTTTCTGGAAGACTTTGCTGTTTTTTCCTGGATTTTTCTGTTGCGTGTAGTCACTTTAAGATGTTTCTTGTTCATGTTTTTGCTTGTTGCGGTTGCACCCGAGTCAAGAGCCGCATGGCTCACAGGGTTATACCAAATAAATGAAACTGAAATTGAAAGCCAATGAAACGCAAACACATTGTCACCGGTGTTGGCCAAGACATCCCAATGCTCAAAGATGCCCGACAAATTACTCAATGAGGCATCACACAAACAGCCACAGCAGCAACGTCGCCCCCTGCTGTGAGAACTCAGCAGGACCCTTCGTAAAAACAGTCTGGAGACTCGTGCAGGCTTCCCTGGGTTAGACGAGGGAAATAATCATATTGGTGATAATATTATGATTGCCAATTTTGACCGTGATGCTGATGCACAATGGCCCGCTCTTATTTATTTTTGTAAATTGTCTCGGGATCTTGAACGTCCCAGCGTGAAGCAGAGACAGTGCATCATATTGACGCAGGAAAGACATTCACCCCACGATTAACCAGGGTGGCCGTGGGCTCGCAGCACGAATCTCTGGAGCATGCGGTAAGACACGTGGCCGTGACGGCTCACCAGAGCCACGTGGCCGTGTCCAGGTGCTGGGTGGATTGTCACATCGCAGGATCGTGAGAGGTAACGATGGCTTGGCAGGGGGGAGATGTTCATCCAGCCGCGGATTGACCATAGCTGATGGTGCTAATTACGGGGGCATGTGGTGATGACGGTGGTGGTGGTGGTGGTTGTGTGGGCCCCGTGTGTCTCCGCACAGGGAGCGGAGGCTACGCAGACAACCAGCTGGGGGCGGTGTCCACCACGGGCGACGGGGAGTCCATCATGCGCGTGGTGCTCGCGCGCCTCGTCCTCTTCAACGTCCAGCAGGGTGAGGCACCGGCTCCATCGCCGCCGCGGTGGCCCAGCGCAGGCACAGGCCGCCGCGGTGGCCCAGCGCAGGCACAGGCCGCCGCGGTGGCCCAGCGCAGGCACAGGCCGCCGCGGTGGCCCAGCGCAGGCACAGGCCGCCGCGGTGGCCCAGCGCAGGCACAGGCCGCCGCGGTGGCCCAGCGCAGGCACAGGCCGCCGCCGCCTCCGGCTGGCACGGCGTCGCGCGATATGCGTGAGTGTGTGCGTGGTGTGTGTGGTGTGTGCGTGGTGTGTGTTCGGTGTGTTGTATGTATATTGTGTGTGTGTGTATGTTGTATATATGTTGTGTGTGTATGTTGTGCGTGTGTGTGTTGTGTGTGTTGTGCATGTGTGTGTATGTTGTGCGTGTGTGTGTATGTTGTGCATGTGTGTGTGTATTGTGCGTGTGTGTGTATATTATGCGTGTGTGTGTGTTGTGTATGTTGAACTTTCGCACCGTACTTCACCAACCACGCTAATCGGGGGTGCCAGGGGAAGGATAACAAACTAAACGCACAAGGCAGTCGTAAAGAAATGAGTCCTCAATCTCGATGATTTACAAGTGCACAGCTCCAGAGTAGCAGCTTGAACTTTCTTCATCTCATCGTCCGCTGTCAAGCAGCGTTCACCTTTTCTGCCTCTCGACCGCTTCTCCAGAAGCTCTTCCGTCGATCTCGAACTCCTGAGAACGGGGCTCAGTCCACGTCGGTTTCTCCGTCGTGTCACCGCGCTGCCCCACGCTGCCCCACGTGACCACGCTGCCCCACGTGACCACGCTGCCCCACGCTGCCCCATGTGACCACGCTGCCCCACGCTGCCCCATGTGACCACGCTGCCCCACGCTGCCCCATGTGACCACGCTGCCCCGCGCTGCCCCGCGCTGCCCCATGTGACCCCGCTGCCCCATGTGACCACGCTGCCCCACGCTGCCTCATGTGACCACGCTGCCCCACGCTGCCCCATGTGACCACGCTGCCCCGCGCTGCCCCATGTGACCACGCTGTCCCACGCTGCCCCATGTGACCACGCTGCCCCGTGCTGCCCCATGTGACCGGCTGAACCACGCTGCCCCGCGTGACCACGCTGCCCCGCGCTGCCCCGCGTGACCGCGCCACCCCGGCGGGCCGACTATTTCTCGGGCAGGCATGAGCCTGGAGGAGGCGGCCGACTCGGCGCTGAGTCACATGACGGCGCGGGTGGGCGGCACGGCGGGCCTCGTGCTGCTGGCGCCCGATGGCCGCTGGGCGGCCCGCTGCAACTCGCTCCGCATGTCCTGGGCAGCCGCCTCGCCCGGGGCCGCCCTGCTTCACTACGGCCTCGAGCGCGGGGAGATCCTCGCCGAGCCGGCGCCACCGATGCCGCTCACCGCGCCCGGGCCTGGGGCTGGGGCTGGGCCCAAGCGGTGACCCGGGGGAGGGGGGGGGCGAGGACGGTGTCGTTTGCACGCTGGCGGTGATCACGGGCGGGCGGGCGGGTGGCGCTGAGACGTCGGTCGGGCGCTGTGCCGGACGGGAGAGGTGGCAGCGACGTGCCGACGTGGGTAGGAGGGGAGACGCGGCTTTGTTAGCAAAGCCAGAGTGATTTACAATGAGGCACTGTTTACAGCCCTGAGCCAGCGATGGAAATCCCACATTCCTGTGGCGGGGGGCGAGTCTATCCATAAAAAGACTACCCCCACAACGTGGTACCCGTTTTATCATCCCCCTGGAGGGATGATGGGCTGAGTCGACCGCTGCTGGATGAATGCTTCGCCCCACGCCGCGTCGAGCAGGAGGGGGCGGTTTGACACGTCGTAAGCGAGTGGCAGCGCTTGCGAACGTCGCGAGCTGTACATTGGCAGCGTTTGCCTCTCGTGGAACTGACGGACGCGGCTTGGGTACGAAGAAGAATGGATTTGCGTAGAGGCTTCCCGCCGGTGTCTCGAGGCCTCGCGGCCACGCCGGCGACACGGGGCGCGCGTGCCGGCGAGGCGGAGGCCCCCCGAGGAGCGTGTCGCTGTCCGCTACTGGACCCCCCACATGGTCTGTTCCTCAGGTTCTCGTTTTAAATTCGCAGGAGATGTGTTCAGAATCGCTGTGAAGGCGGTACGTCTGTGTGCGTCCGTGCGTGCGTGTGTGTAGGGAGCGGTGGTGTAGCGGTTAGCGCGGCGCTACGAACCTGGTGACCCCAGTTTGATTCCCACTCACAGCTAAAACCAGGGACGATTATTTGAACTGGTCCTTGGCCTCCCCTAGGTCGACTCAGCCTCAAATGAGTACCTGGTGCGATGTGTAAACATCGTCACTTGGGAGACAGGCAGCTGGTCATGGTGTTGGCCACCCACCCCCTTGTGTGCCGTGCTGGCCTTTATAGGTACTCGCTAACAACACTTACCCCTACAGTCTGTTCAGGCAATATGGAGGATCTTTGTCCCTGGAGCGGTGGTTAGCGCACTGCTCTACGAACTCTGCGAGCCGAGTTCGATTCTCGCTCATAGAAAACACCGGTGACGCTTATCTGAACCGGTCCTAGGCCTCCCCTAGGTCGACTCAGCCTCAAATGAGTACCTGGTGCGGTGTGTTAACATCGCCGCTGGGGAGACAAAGGCGGTCAGGCGTAGTCCTGGCCACCCACCCGCTCATGTGCCGTACCGAGCTTCATAGGTGATACTTTCCCCAATAGGTGACACTTTCCCCAACAGTCTGTTTAGGCTTCACGGGGGGTCTTTGTATGTACAGCCCGTTTTGTCACTCCACTGCTAGACGAGGGCTTCCCCCACGCTGTGTCGGTCTTGTGCGGTAGTTTATCTGTACTTCACCAGGGCGCTGCGGTGCTGCGGTGGTGAGATGTTAACGACGTCGCCTGGTCTACAGGAGGTCGGAGGTTCGCTCCCGACCCTGACGCCTGCTGCTGCTGTATATTTGGAGTTTGTTTGTCTCCTTCCCCGTGGTTGCGTGGATTAGTTCTCTCCGGCTCCTCCGGTTGGTACCTCCACATTAAGAATCAACGTCACCGCGCGTTTAGAGTATTTGGCTGCTGCTATAAATGTCCACAAGCCACTTCGCCGGGCCATCATTTGTGATGGCCAGGTCGCTGCTGAAAACAAGAGCTGTACAACGTTTAGTTGAGTACTGAAGGAGCTTTCATCGATTGAAGCCGCTGTCATTGTGTTTGTTCCTGTGAAAATTAAAAGGTTTTTCCTGTGGCCTCTTCAGCCGCTCTCAAGCCGTTTCTTCTTTAGCGCGTGCGTGGCCTCCGCTCCGGCGATGACGAATTCCCCAGGTCGCCGGGACCGCGAGGTGGCCACGTGCCGTCGTCCCCCTGATCTTCCACTCGCTCGCTCGCTCCCCACGGCGTGACCTGAGCGGGTCGCTCGTTGCGAGGATTTTTGTGTCGCAGCGGTTTTTGCGGTGCGGACACAGCGACCGCCCGTCCCGGTTGACGCTTCGGCGCACGTCAACCGTTGGATACTCGGCGCCGTCCGCTATGCGGTGGACGTCAAACGTCCTCGTGGTGTCGTTCGCAAAAAAAATGGGCCGCTGTGAGCACGCGCAAATTTACTCATTTGGGAAATGCGTCGTGGTGGCATCGGCCACTCCTTGCAAAACTAAAGTTCACCATGGGAGTCCAGTTCACCATATTAGTCCAGTTTATCATGGGAGTCCAGTTCACCATGGGAGTCTCTTTAAGTGACCACTTCATGACTGTTATTTATTGAAGGACCATCGCTGTCTCGTATTCACACATCGCAGCTTTTTGAAAAATGTATTTATTGATTTTTTTAAAAACCTTTTTACCGAATTCGTTATGAAATGAAAAATGTCTCTTGTTGTTGTTGGTTTGCCGAACCCCCCCCCCCCCCCCCCCCCAGGGCCGGATCATGGTCCCATGAGGCCAGTGGGCACATGTCTTTTGGAGCCCCCCCCCCCCCCCCGCTTTCCTATATTGGTGTCTTTCTTGTCTTCCTCCTCGCAATATCATTCACTAGATTGTCAAAATCTATCTGTCTGACAAGGTCTGACATAGGGGACAATGAGCTGAGACGTGTTTGGCAACATGCTATTCCACAGCTAATTTTTTTATTCTGGCAGTTTGTCACTGGGAAAGTTAGAAAAATCCGAAGTGCCACGAAAACATTGGGAAACACTCAAACGTCTCAAACAATTTATTTGGGCACTTCTCACCCTCAGAGTCAGACATGAAAGACGTGAATTGAAGGAGTTCGTTGGCAAAGTTCATGTCCAGGTCTGATGAATATGCATCAGAGAGTGAATTTACCTTTTCCACTATGACATCACTATTAGACACCTGATCTGACATAAACAGAACTCCAAAGAGACTGGTCAAACGCTTGTAAGCGTCCAAGCGATATTCAAGGCATGCCACTAGCTTATCAATGACCACATAAAATCTCTCCTTCCCCTCAAGTGTCACACCTGGCTCTGAGCTCTCATCTGCAAATGTTTTGCATTTTCTCTTTCGCTGAAGATCGTGCTTAAATCTCTCAACGAAGACAAAAGCTGCGCTGCGACAGAGATGTCAACGTCACTTGTCTGTAGGTGCATGCTTGTAGCTGCTACAGAGATGTCAACGCCACTTGTCTGTAGGTGCATGCTTGTAGCGTGGAACCGGTCAAGTATGACGTCCCAGAAATGTGCCATCAATACCATCTCTAAGGTGTCCAATTAGCACAGAGTCCAGCGGCCTCAATTCGACTATCTCTTGTCTCATCATCATTGCACACATCACCGAAGGCCGCTCTGATGTGGGTGTAATTTCTCCACAGTGCCTTGGTTGACACTGCCCGAGCAGTCCACCGAGCACTGGACAGCGATTTTAATGTCAGTCTGACATCTGTCTTCCGAAAGACTTTCCCCCATCTGTGTGTGGATGAAGAGCAAAATGTGTACAGTGACTGCAACATGTTAAAAAAAACTCGTCAGCCTCTGGGCTACTGTCATCAACTCACACTGTAAGCGCTGCGGGGCCCGGGAGCCCGAGTGGTCAGCTCACGCTTGAAGCGCGGAGGGGCCAGGGAACCTCACACTGTAGGTGCCGAGGGTCTGGGGGGCCCAAGTGGTGAGCTCACGCTATAAACACCCAGGGCCCGAGTGGTGAGCTCACGCTATAAGCACCCCAGGGCCCTCGTGGTCAGCTTGCGCTGTGCGCACTGAGGGCCCTGGCGTTCTACTTCCTTAGGAAGTCTTGGGCCACGCACCGCGCGCGGCCTGAGGCTTGGAGGCCCTCTGGCAGCCCGAGGCCCCAGGGAACTGGCCTCACTGGCCCGGTCCATAATCCAGCCTTGCTACCCCCCACCTCCCAGCCCGCAGGCGCGAGTGGCTTCCGAAAGCGGCCCACGAATGAAATTCCAAATTGAGCCGAGAGAGGGAGCCAAGGGATTGGTGTACAGACACTGTGCAGATGATCGGCAGCCAGCAGCCACGCGGGCCAGGCACCACCAGCAAGCTGATATACTCCAGCAGTGTCGGGTTTGTTGTGAAGACATCTCGCGCAGGAAAATGGCCAAGTAAAGAGCCCAGGAGGTGAAGCTGTTGCACGTTGGTGGAAAGCCACCTCCGTCGATATTTGGCAGAAAACAAGTTTTTGACGACCTGATGCATATTGGCCCCAAACTGCTTCCCGCCTCCCAACCAGTCCATATGTAATAAAAGGACTCGAACACTTCTTTCTGTCTTCGTGTCTTTATTCAGGTTCACGTCTTTACCCACACGGCACTCTGTTATAACTCCTGTATTTGTAGCCCCCGGCTATTCACTGCTATTATAGCTTCCTCTCCCCTCTGACTCTCTGCTTCATCTACTGTAACCTCCCCCCTGCAGACTCGCTGCTACCCCTATGCAGACTCCCGCTGCTACCCCTATGTGCAGACCCTCTGGCTGTCACTGTATGCAGACCCGCTGCCCACTCTCTCTGTGCAGCCCCGCTGCTGACTGCAGCCTCCTCGCTGCTTCGGGTCGGTCACCGCTGGCCAACGGTGCCGATCCTTGCTCCCCCCGTGTTCGTGGCGATCTCGCCACACCCTGCTTCGCCCTTCGTGGCCTTCCTCTGTTCCTGGTTCCCCGTCACTCCTCTTGCTCTTCCGGTTCCCCTCCTTCTATATCAACCCCTCTGACCCCCACGTGACCTAACTCCTCCCCCCCTGACGGCACCTCAGAAGGGCCGTTTACAACCGCATTACATCACCCTCCCCCCTAAAGAAAATCCAGCCGACCTCGGCTGAATTGCGACCTGAAAAGCAATGCGGGTGTAAAGGGCCAACACGCAAAAAGACACGAAGCATTGAAGACATTATAACAATAACACAACACAACACAATCTAACGAAACGTGAGGGATTTCGAGCGAGTACGGGTAGCCGGGCCGTCCCGGACGGTCGGCGGCCCACCCGCCGAGCGGGAACGTGGAAGGGTTTTAGGGGCGACGGGCGCAAGTTCTTCCGTCGCCATTGGAGGCCCGCCACTGTCCCGCTCGCGTCCAGAAACATCCCGTACTCGCGTCCGCGGAGGGATAGGAAGAGCTGCAGGTCCCGTGGGTTCTGCGGCTCCGGTCGGCGTCCCACAAGCGGAAGGTCCTCCTCCCTGCGGTGTCACGGCCGGCTTGTCTGTGAAGGGTACGACAGGCGCTCTCGCAAGGTCAGCAGACACAGGCAAGGGCGAGTCGGCAGCAACAGACCCCGGCAAGGCAACTTCGGGAGATGACGCATCCGGCCGTGGGGCAATGTATGGCTTCAACCGGGACGTGTGCACGAACCAACGCCGTGCACCAACCTGAACACGCGCCGACTGTGGGTTGGGAACCTCAATGAGGCGGACCGGACCCTGCCAAGGTCGATGTAATTTAGGAGATGTACCTGGCCGGACCTGTGGGCAATGAAGCCAGGCCAGGTCCCCCTTTTTCCAGGGACACTCCCCCTTTGAACGTCGGGCACACCGCTCATTCCTGGCCTGAGCCTTGGCAGTAGCCATGCGGGCATTTTCCCTCGCCTCAGCGACACGCCGAACGTTGTCCTTAATATACTCAGGAAGAGGCTTAACAGGCCCCCTCGCACCGGTTCCCAACTGGTCATGAATCGGCGGCACGTTCTCACGGCCGTACATAAGGAAAAACGGCGAGTATCCAGTAGCCGCGTGCGGCGTCATGCGATACGCCGAAAGCACCCCAGGGATATGCAAATCCCAATCAGATTGGTTTTCCCCGACTGTATGGCACAGCATGGCGGACAGAGTCCGATTCAACCGTTCCACCATACCATCCGTTTGCGGGTGGTAGGGGGACGTCCGTATCTTTTTAGTTCCAAGAGCCGCACACACCTCCCCCAACAATTTAGACGAAAAGTTACGTCCCTGATCCGTAAGGAGCCTCTCCGGAGCCCCTTTGTCCATTACATACCCAAATAGAAAGGCGTCAGTGATAGACGCCGCTGACTGGTCAGGCAAGGGCCAGGCCATCGGCCAGCGAGAGAGGTACTCCACCCCCACCAGTAAATACTTATTCCCTTTAGCTGATGGCGGAAAGGGTCCCAAAATATCTAACGCCACCAGCTCATTAACCCGAGATACTTTAAACGATTGTATCGGCGGAACATATGGATGTTTAGGCGGCTTACGGCGGGCACAATCGGGACACGCGCGAACGTGACCGACGACATCCGTCGTCATGCCGTGCCAATAATAGTCTCGTTGCAGCGTCAATAGGGTTTTCTGCACCCCCAGGTGTAAAAGCGTGTCACAGTGCAAAGATCTAATCAGCTCATAGCGCAATGACGCGGGCACAACGAGACGCCAGTGTTCCTGTATCCCTTCCCTCCACATCAGTAACCCATCTCGGAGAGCAGTTTCCGAATTACCACCCGCACCGACTTCCTTACCCGCCCTCTCCGTTCGTTTCCGTAACGACACCAAAGAATCGTCCAACATTTGCTCCCGAATCCACACAGACCTTGGAAGACGCAAAATCCCGTCAGCCGGTCCCCCTTCAACCGGTCCCGGTGTAAGCGGAGGTTCGAGAACATCCACTGCCCGCGCGACAGGCTGAGGGGGGGGCTGAGCCGGTCCACACCTATGCGTCCCCGACGCACACGCACAAGGGGATTGTTGCGGCAACCTGGACAGTGCGTCCGCGTTAGCGTGACGCACACCCTTCCGATGGTGAATTTGGAAGGAGAATTCTTGCAACGTGTCCAGCCATCTCGCCAATTGTCCGGATGGCTGGTCCATCTTAAGAGCGTACTGCAAGGCCGCATGGTCCGTTCGGACAATAAACGACCGACCGTACAGATACGGTCGAAATTGGCGGAGAAAATACACAATAGCCAAAAGTTCCCTGCGAGTGACGCAGTAACGAGTTTCCGCGGGAGACAAAACCCGACTCCCGTACGCCACCACACGCTCAACACCACCTTTTGACTGGGACAACACCGCCCCAATCCCGGTGTCACTCGCATCAGTATCCAGAATGAAGGGATGTTCAAAATCCGGATAATCCAACGTCGGCGCAGTAGCCAGTAGATCGCGCAGGCTCCGAAACGCCGCCTCCTCCGGCGGTCCCCACACAAATTTGTGCCCCTTCCCAGTAAGGAGATGCAAAGGCCTGGCGATAGTAGCGAAATTCGGAACAAATCTCCGGTAATATGAGGCGAACCCCAAAAACCGACGCACATCACCCACCGTGGCGGGGGTTGCCCAATCCCGGACACACGCAGTTTTCTCTGGATCCGTGGCCACCCCGTCCGCACTAACAATATGTCCCAAGTATCGAACGGAACGTTGCAGTAGATGACATTTCTTAGGCTTGAATTTCAAATTAGCAGAACGCATTCTGGCAAAAACGGCCTCCAACCGCAATAAATGCTCATCAAATGTGCGGCTGAAGACAATAATATCATCTAAATAAATGAGACATGTCTCCCACTGCAACCCCGTCAATACCAACTCCATCAATCTCTGAAAGGTGGCAGGGGCTGCATTCAACCCCATCGGCAGACAGTTAAATTGGAACAACCCCTGCGGCGTACGGAACGCTGTCTTTTCCCGCGAGGGCTCGTCAAGGGGAAGCTGCCAGAAGCCCGAAGAGAGATCTAGCGTTGAAAAAAACTTAGCCCCTGACAAGGCGTCGAGAGAATCGTCCATACGCGGCAGGGGATACGCATCTGCCACCGACACTTTATTTAACTTCCGAAAATCCACACAAAATCGTAATTTACCATCTTTCTTTTTAACCAACACGACAGGCGCGCCCCACGGGCTATTAGACGGTGATATAATATCCGCTTTCAACATGTCTTCCACTGCCTCTCGAACGTGCTCACGCTCAGCCGGACTCATCCGACGCGAGTTCAAGCGGATAGGGGCCGCGTCCCCCGTTTCGATGTGATGAGAGAGCAGCGAGGTGCGTCCCAAGTCCAAATCGTCCGAGCTAAACACATCGGAATAGCTCGCTAATAATTTATGAATCGCACAACGCTGCTCAGCGGAAAGGGCCGAATTTTCCGCACATAGTTCGGCGATCCAACGATCGTCCACCCCTCCGTCGTGTGAAACACCACCCACCAGCCCCCCGTCCGGAATGTCACTCTGAGCCGTAAACGCCGTAGTGGCGTGTGCCACAACGGTACCAGCCGGCACACACACGCTTTCAGAACTCGCATTTAACACCTCCTGTATTTGTAGCCCCCGGCTATTCACTGCTATTATAGCTTCCTCTCCCCTCTGACTCTCTGCTTCATCTACTGTAACCTCCCCCCTGCAGACTCGCTGCTACCCCTATGCAGACTCCCGCTGCTACCCCTATGTGCAGACCCTCTGGCTGTCACTGTATGCAGACCCGCTGCCCACTCTCTCTGTGCAGCCCCGCTGCTGACTGCAGCCTCCTCGCTGCTTCGGGTCGGTCACCGCTGGCCAACGGTGCCGATCCTCGCTCCCCCCGTGTTCGTGGCGATCTCGCCACACCCTGCTTCGCCCTTCGTGGCCTTCCTCTGTTCCTGGTTCCCCGTCACTCCTCTTGCTCTTCCGGTTCCCCTCCTTCTATATCAACCCCTCTGACCCCCACGTGACCTAACTCCTCCCCCCCTGACGGCACCTCAGAAGGGCCGTTTACAACCGCATTACACATACACACAGCACATACACAGTGCATACACAGCACGTATAGAGTGCATACACACATCACGTACACAGTGCATACACACAGCACATACACAGTGCATACACAGCACGTATAGAGTGCATACACACATCACGTACACAGTGCATACACACAGCACACACACAGTGCATACACACAGCACGTATAGAGTGCATACACACATCAGGTACACAGTGAATACACACAGCACATACACAGTGCATACACACAGCACATACACAGTGCATACACAGCACGTATAGAGTGCATACACACATCACGTACACAGTGCATACACACAGCACATACACAGTGCATACACAGCACGTATAGAGTGCATACACACATCAGGTACACAGTGAATACACACAGCACATACACAGTACATACACACAGCACATACACAGTGCATACACAGCACGTATAGAGTGCATACACACAGCACATACACAGTGCATACACAGCACATACACAGTACATACACACAGCACATACACAGTGCATACACAGCACGTATAGAGTGCATACACACAGCACATACACAGTGCATACACAGCACATACACAGTACATACACACAGCACATACACAGTGCATACACAGCACGTATAGAGTGCATACACACATCACGTACACAGTGCATACACACAGCACATACACAGTGCATACACACAGCACGTATAGAGTGCATACACACATCAGGTACACAGTGAATACATACAGCACATACACAGTGCATACACACAGCACATACACAGTGCATACACAGCACATACACAGTACATGCACACAGCACATACACAGTGCATACACAGCACGTATAGAGTGCATACACACATCACGTACACAGTGCATACACACAGCACATACACAGTGCATACACACAGCACGTATAGAGTGCATACACACATCAGGTACACAGTGAATACACACAGCACATACACAGTACATACACAGCACATACACAGTGCATACACACAGCACGTATAGAGTGCATACACACATCAGGTACACAGTGAATACACACAGTACGTACACAGTACATACACACAGCACATACACAGTGCATCCACACAGTGCGTACAGAGTGCATACACACAAAGACACCTCACACACAGCACACACATATATACACACAACAACAACGGCAAAGCTGGTGTTTACAGCGAGTTGCAGGACCTTTGAAAGCCGGGTCGGCACACGAGGGGCTGGGTGGCCAGCACCACGCCCGGCCGCCTTTGTCTCCCTAGTGACGATGTTTTACACACCACGTACTCATTTGAGGCTGAGTCGACCTATTGGGAGCCGAGGACCAGCTCAGATCGTCACTGGTGTTGGCCGTGAGCGGGAATCGAACTCGCTACTAAGTGGCGGTGACGTCACCACGGTGCTTGTGCCAGGCTAGGTGCACTTTGAGGCCACGTGAAGAATATATGTTGAACCTCTTTCGCACTGTACTTAGCCAACTATGCTAATCAGTGATGCGAAGTGTGCAAGGCTCGCTAGAAGGAGGTTACGGGGCACTATCTACGAACCGCCGTCAAACGTTCGCCATAAGTTCGCTGCGCGGAGGAGAGGGGAGGCCAAGATGCCCCTCGCCTTCCGTAGCGCACTTTTGGCGCTTGCAAAGGCTGCCTTCCTGAAGATGGACCACGACGGAGTCGACTCGTTTTGTCCTCAAGAGATTGTTGATGTTGACAAAGGACCTCAACATCGTGCTGCCGGCCGTCGACGAAGACTATTTGTCTTCTCTCAAGGTTGCAAGATGCGTCCAGGCGCACCAGCTCTTGCAACGACATCAAGGGTTGGCGGCGTGTACGGCGCCTCTTGAGGCGCGAAGACAAGTCACGAAGCATCACACACTCGGCCCCTGAATTCACCTCACGCATCGCGTTCGGTCGGTTTTCATTCCCGTTGTGTGTCGGGGCGTGAGGGTTCGGATTTTGCTTGGGCTGACTGACCGCTCCGACCGGCTCAGTGGTTGGAGTTGGCCCATAGAGTGGTTGCCACGACCGCAGGTTAATCCGCTGTTATCGGGTTGAAATCAGAATACTCGTCGATACTGGTGCGTCCACGACTATCATTTCTGAGTCGATTTTTTACATTCTGCCCCCTAAATGTCAGACCCTATGTCCCGTTATGGTTCCGGGCTTTGCCGCGAACGGCGGATCTTTGGGTATCATTGGGAAAATAACAGTGGAGGTGTATATTGGAGATATCAAATTTATGGGACCAGTTTTTGTATCAATGTCCCCTTACTGTTCCTTGCTTGATCGGGACTGACTTCTTGGAGAAGATGCCTCTGAAAATTTTGCTCAATCAAGGGTGACTTGAGTTACCATTGGGCCATTGCATAGCCTTCTTGCCTTCTCCCACTCGATTGTGCACGGCCAACGCTACTGTACAAGGGCTTGCGAGTAAGACCGTAAAGATTCACCCCGGCACGCAAATGTTGGTTCCCTTACAATTGCGCAAGCCGCTAGACCAGGAGGCGACTGCTGGAGGAATCCTCCTATGACCCTCAAACAAAGCCATTCGTCGGTTGACGTTGGTGGGGCCCAGACTCTGGTATCCAATCACCAGGAACCATTCATTCAAGTCCTGAATGCAGGGTTGGATACGTCTGTCATTCAGGAGGGCACCGTGCTAGCCCACGCATCGCCCACGCTTCGCGAGGAAAACTATGTTGGCGGTGTAGGGGTCACGTCGAATATGATTCCGCATCAGATTTCTGATGAAAAGTCAATATGCTTTGTTCTGAAAATTTGGAGTTCCAGAGGGGGGAATTGAGGGTGCTTTTGCGTGAATTCTCCGATGTGTTTACCAAGGGCAAATTTGACATCGGCCGCACTATGCTTTTGAGTCACCACATCGATACGGGCAACGCCGCTCCCATCTGGCAGAACCCCGACCGGCTGAGCCCTGCGGAAAAAAGAACACGTAAGGCTGGTGGTTAATGAAATATTGGCCACTGATATTATCTCACCATCCACCAGCCCGTGGGGAGCCCGGATTGTTCTTGTTAAAAAGCAGGATGGTAGTTTGCGCTTCTGTGTTGACTTCCGCAAGCTTACCCTCTTCCTCGGATGGACGATTCCCTAGATGCTCTAGCAGGGGCACGTTATTTTTTGACTTTTGACCTCCTATCCGGATTTTGGCAGTTGCCACTAGATGAATCCTCTAAGCCCAAGACAGCCTTGAATTTAATCGGCTTCCGATGGGTCTTCATTCCACGCTGGCTACGTTCTAGCGATTGATGGAACTGGATCTAGCTGGCCTCCAGTGGGACTCGTACCTGATATATCGCGACGATGTTATCGTTTTTAGCCGTACGTTCAAAGAACATCTGGAACGGTTACGTGCTGTCTTTCTTAAAATGCGTGCGGCGAACGTCATTTAAATCGCAGAAGTGTCACCTGCTCCAAAAATCTGGTCGGTATCTTGGCCACCTAGTCAGTAAATCAGGGATAGCGACGGATCCGGACAAAACCGCATCTGTGTGTTCTTAGCTGACCCCCACGTCGGTGGGGGAGGTGTGCAGTTTGACTGGTGTTGCATCTTATTACCGCCGTTTTGTCGCCGGGTTCGCCACTATCGCCAAACCTCTCCAGGCCCTGACGGCAAAGGGTCAGAAGTTACATTGGGGGGAGGAGGAGGCTGCACTTGTTGTGCTCCAGGATGGTTTGGTGAACACCCCTCCCCTCTGATACTCAGACTTTTCCTTGCCCGTTCATTCTTGATACAGACGCTAGAAACACCGGAATTGGCGCTGTTCTGTCTCAGGTCGTGGAGAGTGTTGTAGCATATGGCAGCAGAGTGCTGTCTCCGGCTAAACAACGGTACTGTATCACACGTCGGGAACTTTTGGCTATAGTTTTTTTGTGCAGCAGTATCGCCCCTATCTTTATGGCAGATGCTTTGAGGTGCGCTCTGACCATGCTGCACTACAGTACACGCTGCGTATTGAGCAGCCGTCTGGCCAACTTTCACATTGCTTGGATGTCCTCCTTGGACTATTCCTTTACTATTTCCTATTGCAAAGGTACCCGACACATGAACGCGGATGCCCTGTCACGATTACCAACGAGCAACGGGTGCACGTGTTTCTCGGGGCACTGTAAGACGCCTACCGAGAACCCGCCCCCTCCCCTTGCGGCGTCGGTCGAGGTTGAAACCTCTGAGGAACGTGACGCCATTATTGGCTTGGACCATGCTGAGTGGGGACGCCTCCAGGTTGAGGACGCTTCCCTGTTCAACTTACGACGCCATGTCAAGGAGGCGGATGGGGGTGGGGATTGATGGGGTGTAGCCTTTGTCATCCTCAGAGGCGGACTGCTCATGCATTGGGATGGAGGGTTTGCTCCATTACAACATTGTCGTGCTTACTGCTCTACGGGGTAAAGTGATCTGAGCGGTGTATGAGCGACTGTTGCACCTGGGTGTGCATTAGACGCTAGCCACACTTAAACTCGACTTCTTCTGTCCTGGCATGGCAAAATATGTCGCTAATTTATTGAAGGGGTGTGTGCAGTGCATGTGGCGGAAACCCCTGTCTAAACCCTGTTGTCCACCGTTGCAATCCATTCAGGTCTCCCGCATAAATTAGCTGGTTACTCTTGATATTCTTGGTCCATTTCCTACTACCCCTCGTGGCAATAACTTTTTACTCGTGGGCATCGAATATTTTTCACGCTGGCCGATGGCCTGGCCGCTTCCCAACCAGTCAGTGGCGGCCATCACCAAGGCAATCCTCGATGGCTATGTGATGAGTGTCTTCTGACCGATCAGTGTAAGAATTTTTTTTCGAAATTGCTGCGGGAGGTGTGTGACTTGTTGGGAACAAAGAAAGTATGTACGTCGCCATACCACCCACAGACAGATGGAATGGTGGAGCGCTTGCACAGGACTCTGACTTCCATGTTGAGCCATCAGGTCAGCGAGTCTCAGCTTGACTGGGACTTGCATGTTCCCGGGGTTCTGGCTGCCTATAGAATGGCCCCTCACGCGTCCACCAGTTACTCACCATTTTGTTTTATGTATGGAAGAGAACACAACCCTCCGATTGATGTCCAATTACAAGCCTCATCAAACGAGGCTAAATCTATGCGCTTTACCCTTCAGAGGCTTTTGGAAGCGCGTGAGGCTTCCATAGAAAATTCCAATTTGCGCTAATTGGCAAATTAGCGGCTGAGGGGTTTCCGTCTTTCCGCACATGAGTGGGCTCCAGGTGACAGAGCTGGCTGGAGGGGGTCGGTTGATGTGATTCGGGTCGTTCGGCCCCAGTGCGTTCAAATTCTCTGGGATCAGCGGAGTTGGTTTGTGCATCCCTCTCGCCTCAAGCCTTTCATTTCACTGCGTGAATTCATCCCATCTCCACTACGCAGGGGCCGAGTGTCAGATGTGTCCGGCGAGTTGAGGTGTGTACCCGCTGAGGTTGGTTCTCAGGGGAGTCATGTGATCCCGTCCTCAGGTGCCGCACGTTTAACGTCTCCCAAGGCCGCCACCTGTGCCGTCTGCACAAGGACCTCCAAGGAGAGTGAACCCACCTCCCCTGGGTGCCCGGCCACAAGACTCGATCAAAGACTCTTCGGTTTTCGTGATCCCCATACACACACGCTCCCACACCGTCAGTTGGTTGTCGCACTCAGCAGGCCGTATTGGTTATTGGCTGAACCTGGCCTTCGTTGTGCTTGCGGGTGTTGTTACATGTGAGGGTGGGAGATGCTGGTGCTGGAGGGGGTCCCGAGGTTTTGCGTGTTACTGCATTTTTTTCTCTCTCTTCCCCTCTCTCTTCCGTTCTTTTTGCCTATTATTGTTCTGTACTTCCGTCGCCCTTACCCCGTTAGTTACTGTATATTCTGTATATAGTGTACATATTGGAAATATGGGTTGGGGTATTTATTTGTTGAATCACACTGAGGGGTTTTGTTCTTTTGTTGAGGGGGAGTTGACAGCTGAGACGTCTGAGTGCTGCGAAGGGGGATGGGGGGGGTGATGTAGTGACATCACGGGATGTCACTGTGTAGTACCGGCCCTAGAGGGGCACGGCGAGCGGTGTAGTGACATCGCGGACACCACATGATGTGGGTGTAGTACCGGCCCTAGAGGGGCACGGTGAGCGGTGTAGCGACATCGCGGATACCACGAGGGTGTGTGGGTGTAGTACCGGTCCTAGAGAGGCACGACTTGCGATGTAACGACACCGCGGACACCACAATGGTGTGAGTGTAGTACCGGCCCTAGATGGGCCTGGTGAGCGCTGGTTGACAGCGCTGGATGACACCACGCTTGGCGTGCAGTGCCAGTCCTACAGGACAGGGTGTGGAAGTGCCTGTCGTAGGAATGGGGTTACTAAAGGTCATGGCACTCTGGTTGACCCGAGAGGACACGTGACCGGTTAAGTCTACAAAGGGGCCCAAGTGGGGGCTAGGGGTGGTCACGTGGTGAGCATCCAGATCCTTCCCGAGGATTCTGGAAGGTGGTAGTGGCCAAGGGCGGAGCCAGCCACGCCGCAGAGAATATAAGCCGGGTCCCCAGAGGGACCGGCGTTGTTGTTGTTCATCCTGAAGAAACCTTCGTCAACGTTTTACGTTCTACCGAGTTTCCAACACGTGGACCTGGACCCGAGCTGTTGGTCTCGGTCCGTAGTAGCAGTTACGTGGTAACTAGTGTAGTTAGCCTGGTGGTCACCACTATAGGTTGTTATTCTGTTAAAGGGAAGTTATCCCGTTTGTTGGAGTTACATAAACGTGTCGCCTCCAAGTATACGTTTGCGACTCAGTTGAACTCACTACATATACACACAGCACACACACACAAAGACAAAGACCCCCCCCCCCATATAGCCTTAACAGACTGTTGGGGCAAGTGCTGTTAGCAAGTAGCACCTATGAAGGCCGGCACAGCACGCGAGGGGGTGGGTGACCAACACCACGCCCGGCCGCCTTTGTCTCCCCAGTGGTGATGTTTACACACTGCACCAGGTATGCGTTTGTAAGGCTGAGTCAACCTAGAGGAGGCCCAGCATCTGTTCAAATGCACTTATTAGTCGTGAGTGTTGGTAGCGCAGAGCGCTAACCACTGCGCCACTGCCCCCCACTACACACGCACAGGACACAGAGAGAGAGTGGTTTCTTCTCTCATCACCGGTTCATTTTACCAGGTAAGGCCCCACTGAGATGTGTAGCTCTTTTTCAGAAGCTACCTGGCTATCACAAATTATAGCCCAAAGAAGTAGCTTATTATCACGTGGACATTTATAGAAGCAGCCAAATACCCTAAACGCGTGACGTCGATTCTAAATGTGGAGGGAACAACCCGGAGGACCCGGAGACAAATACACGCGACCACGGGGAGAGAGAGACGCAGATTCCAAATATACAGCAGGCATCGGGGTTGGCATCCAACCCACGACCTCCTGCATACCAGGCGAGGTAGTTAACATCTCCTAGTCACCGAGGGAAGCGCGGTGTAGGCGCGGTGTTGGGGAGCGCGCGGACGACGAGTTGAGGCGCACCGCGTCTCGCTGCGTGACGACTGCCGCCAGCGCACAGGGTTCCCCATCGTGTACCCTGCCACTGGAGCCACCGCTTTCATCCATTTCCCCCGATCCGGTCCGGTTCGGGCCGCGCCGCTGGCGTCGCGCGTCACGAAATGAAGAAACTATCACATTCAGGACCTCTGCATAGAGAGACCGGCCCGCCGGAAGTGGACATCGCAGAGCTCCTTTTGAGATCCCTTTGAGTGGCCCCTCTGGCCCACAGAGTTGAAGGGCAGGCACTTTCCCAACCCACCCTGCTACATGAATCTCAAAGCAACACTTGGCGCAATGGTCCCTTTGCCGATTGCGCGGGACGAGCGGACGAATGAGGAGCGAGAGAGGGTTGTGCGAACCGCCACCCACGATGCCGTGCACCGCTCCG